CCCCATCCCCCGCCCCCGCCGCCGCCCCCGCAGCGGTGGCGTCGCGCCGCCGCCGCCGTCGCCGCCGCTGCCGGCGCCGCCGCCGCTGGGGGGCGAGGCGCCAGCTGCAGATGTGCTGGCCGACCCGCCGGCTTGGTCGTGGTGGGAAGACGCGTCATCGCCTGAGTGGAGGGGGCGCCGCCGACGCGCCTTGCTGAGAGATTCCACAACAGGAGACCCGCTCCCATCCGCCGACGCCGCCTGCTCCGCCGCCGCGGCAGCAGCCAGCAGCGACGATACGCCGCCGCGCGGCCGGGCCTGCGGCGGCCGCCCGTCCTGCGGCTGCTGCTGCTTTTGCTGCCGCCCGCGCGGCGACGCGCCGCCCGACGGCCGAGGGAACCCGATCGCAACCGGCGCCTGCGGCGACGACCCCAGCGCGGTCCGCGGCAGCGCGCCCCCGCGGCCCCCGAGGGGGCTTGGTCCGTTGGGGTGCTGCTGCCAGCTGCCGCTGTGGTGCCAGCTGCCGTGCGCGCTGCTGCCGCCGCCGCCGCCGCCTGCGCTGCTGCCATAAAGGTCCTCCCCGGGGTGCAGCTTGCTGCGGTGCTCCTCGGACTCCCTGGAAGCGTGGATGATGTCAGCGCCGGTGTTGAGTCAACGCCGGTGGGCTCACCCGCAGCAGCCTCCACGGCCCGGATCGGTGTCTGCGCGGTGCAACAACGCACGATGCAGATAGCGGCGCCACCCACCCCGCAATCGCATTGTCCTGGACCTTTCAAGCCCTGTGGCCAACAAGCCCACCCAGGCCACCCCTCCACCCCGGTCAATCATTGCGCACCATACGGCCACGCCGCAGTGCTTGAAGAAGGCTATGCGGTGATAGGGCACCTCCTCGTCCGCAAAGCGCCGTTCAAACTCCTCGTATGACAGCTCCACCTGTACAGAATCAGCGGTTGCCGGGGGTTTAAGGGGGGCACCGGCGACGAAGGGTTGGGTCGGGGCGTTTGAAAGCGAGGCTGTCTGCGGGGATTGGTTGAGGGATCGATCCGGCGCCCAGCCCTGACTTGAGCGGCCCCAAAACAAGGCAGTCCCCTTGAACCCACCACGCGGTCGTGCAGGCGCGTGCTCCAGGCCGCGGCGCCGCTCTTGCGCTCGGAGGCTGCCTCTGTTTCCACAAAACCGACCTGCCCGCATTGGGATGGCGGGTGGGTGAGGGGTCGGTGCCGCGAGGACAGCAGAAGGGCGCACGCCGGCAGGCCATACACCATATTGAGCATTCCAGTTGAGAGAACAGGGGGGCCGCCCTGGGCGGGCGCACGTGGCAGGGGCTGCGCCACATCTGGCAAGCGGCTTGCATCAGCGCTCGCTTGCACTGCGCGACCTGGCGAAGACATGTGACACAGCGCGCGGCATCCTGGCCCGCCCCCGGCATGACTGGAGTATAGTTTCACGCGCCAAGGTGAAATTGGCGCGGTGCTGGGCACTTGAAACGATGGTGGACGAGTGCATTGTTGCTTCTCTGTTGGTCGCACCCACCTGCCACTGCTCAGGTTGCTCAACGCCACATGTGACGTCAAAAATAAGCGTCCTCCAAAATCGCCTAGCATTGGCCTGCTTGGTGCGGGACTCGCCGTGCTTGATGGGGACGCCCTGGCCTGGACTGGCACCGCCAGGCTGTGTGCACCCTCCTGAATTTTTTCTTGAGCCTCCGGGGATGGGAATGGACCGTGCAGCCATGGCGAATCCCGTGGTCGACAGCTCCGATGCTCGATGTGGGGTGCCACACGATTGAGGCGTGGGGGTGTATGTGATTGTGTGATTGGTGCTAAGGTTGTCGTGTCCACGTGTGTGCCACGCGGCAGTGCCGTTGGTGCTGATAAGGCCGGAGCCCTTGTCCGCACGCGCGCTGGCAGGCGGGGAACAGAAGGTGCATATGCCCGTTGGGTACCGGTACCCCGCGCGTGTGCGCATGAAAGCCAGGTCTGCCCCACTCATTGACATCGCAGTCGCTTAAATGTCCACCCAAATTGCTCGTGTAAGGTGTGGTGGAGCGACGCAGCACATTGGCCATAGGGTTGCGAGACACATCAGCGTGCCTGGCGTGTCAGCCCGCCACACCGCCGTCACCTGGCATGCACAAACGCCAACTTTGACGCTGCAGAGCAAAGGTGGTGGCTCGGCCATGCGGCGGCAGGCTCATTCCCCCGGTTTTGAGCCGCTTGAGAGACAAACACCGCGACAGATGGCACCACCGCTTCACGCTGAAGGTTTGTTTTTTTGTAAGTGACGTCCGCCGCCGCTGCACACAGCACCTGCATGAAGGCGCAAGCGCCGACCAGTGAACCTGCATCTGGATAATATGGCAGGACAAGACGCCAAGAGGCACGGGATGCACAACACACAATGTCCCTCCCTCGAGCTGCAGGGGCACCGAATGGCGTACACCAGCACTGAATCAGTCCTTGGCAATGGGCCCCGAGGAGCGTCCGTCCACAAAACTGCAGAGTGTTATGCTGCATAGCTCTGAAAAGCTCGCAGGCAAGGGTATACACAACACGTGCGGTCCCACAGCGCCCAGGTCCTGCTGCTGTAAAGGCCAGGATGACACGGTGAGGGGGCGCGGGGCCAAGGGTGCGAAAAGCCCGCAAACCAACCGGTTCGGCTTGTTCATGTGTGAATGATCATATTAAACGTTTGATGGAGTATTCAATATTCTGTCACCCGCCGTTCCTTGCGTCGATTAGGACATGGACATCCCGTGACCATCACGGACGCTGAAAATGTCACGCTGAAAAGCTCTGTGCTACTCCATTTGCCGCAAATAACACCATAAAGCATCAGCACAAGCACGATGGACGATCGTGTATGGGAAGACCTGCGGCACTCGCTGGCAGCGTCTGAGAGCCAGGCAGAGCTGTTTGCCGCGCTGGACGCATGCGCCGCCGCCTTGGACGGCCCCGCTGGGTCACGCAGAGCGCATGAAGTCGGTATCCCCGCAAACCCGGGGCAACCAAGCGCCGGAGGTGCAGACATGTCGCGCGTCACCGCGCGGCGGGAGGCCGAGCGGCGGCAGCTGCACGAGATCGCAGAGGCCCGCCAGCCGGGGCTCATGGCGGGGTGGGCAAAGTACTGTGCGGTGAGTGACCAGGTGGAGCTGCAGCCAGTGAGGTTGACAGGCACCCAAGTAATGAGTGGGGCCTTGATGCCGGAAGTCGTCGTCACCACGCCTCGTCATCAGGCCGCGCGCGGGGCTCAGCAGGGTCACCGCAGCCATTTGTTCACCCCCTGTCACCCGCAGCTGACGAGCCCCTGACCTCCACAACTGGCCCTTGGTCTTGCACTGTGTGGCTGTGGCAGCGGCTATCGCACCGCTCTCTATACACTCGCCCGCTGCCATAACCTTCTACCATGCCACATTGTCCGACCATTGCCTGCAGGAATTAAGGGAGCGCAAGCTGGGCTCTGGTCCGGGCGGTCGCCACATGCGGGACGGGCCCTTCTGCTGCAACATCAGCGTCTACGAGGGCGTCGTCTGCGAGAGCCGCGCCGACCCCGCCCACACCTGCAGGCGCTGCGGCCTCGTCTCCTACTGCGGCCCCGCGTGCCAGAGCGCGCACGCGGCCCGGCACGGCCGCGAGTGCACGTCGCGGCTGACGGGCGAGAGGTTTGTGCCATCGTACCTGCTGGAAGGGCGCCGGCCCTCGTGGCTCAGGGACGAATCACCGCTCGCTGCGCTATTCAGGAGGCCGCGCCCGCAGGAGTACCTCTGGGGCAACCTGCCCGCGTACTCGCTCCTGCCAGAGGCGCTGGTGTCCGCGGCTGCCGCGGCGACCGCGGAAGGTGCGGAAGCTGCGGAGACGCCCAGGACAGCAGGCTCTGGCGTGAGCAGTGCGCGAGGCCAGCGGCAGGGGCCTGGCTGCGGGATGCCAGACGGGAGCGGGGACGCGGCCTTGGCTTCCGCTCTGGGTGCGTCCGCGGAAGCTGTTGGCGTCGCCGGCGCCGGCGGCGCGCTGGCGGCGCCGCCGTTGGAGATGCATGTGCTGCTGCCGGCCAGCGGGGACCTGCGCCACGTCATCAAGACCATCAATAGACTGCCACTGGGGCAGCAGGACGGCCCAGCCGCCAGCGCACCAGGCCGGCCCTTGAAGCTGCACGTGCACCTGAACGACCACCATCCCAAGATCGCCCTGCGCAATCTGATGGTGCTGCAGCTGCTCGGCAGCTACGGCCCAGACGCGGCCGACGCAGCGGCGGCGATCATCTACTCCACCGCCCTGACCAGCAGCCAGTACGTCGCACTGCTTGACTGCTCTGTACGCGTGCTGAGCGCGACCAAGCTTGAGTGCGATGCGGCGGCGGCCGCCGAGCGGTTGCCACGGGGCTGCAGAGACCAACTGCTGGCGGGCCGCGGGTTCGGGAAGGGTGGTGGCGGCGGCGGCGAGGAGCAGGGCAGCAGTGTGGACGCCCTCACGGATCGCCTGGGTCAGGTGCAGGTGGAGCAGCAGGGTGCAATCACCAGCGGCGCGGGCGGCAGCGGCCTCAGCGAAGGCCAGCCGGTCGACTTTGGGGAGTTGGCCAACTCCTCAGAAGCCTACCCCGTCAGGTGGGTATGACTAGGTGACAGCCATGCTGATGCATCGGAGAGGTGTGCACGTGTGCTCGCTGCGTGCGTAAGGCCGTCACACATATGCGACGGCTCTCCCACAACTGCACACGGCTGCAGCTCTAGGGGCTGCAGTACTCACACACAAGCAGCCTGCAGTGCCTCCAAACGAAAGAAACCTAAGCGAAGGCACACAAGCGCCTGAAAAGTGAATTACAGTCGCAAACACAAACAGACAGCCGCAACTGGTCGCACGACGCAGGTTCAAGACCCCCATGATGGCCGGCGGTGCCCAGATTGTCGCCGACTTGCCCCCCGACGCGTGGGCGCTGCTCGCTGCTTGATCGGCTGGCGCGTGGACTTGCAGCAGGCATCAGACATGCGGTCCGAGGTCATGCACTCGGCGGACGTGATAGACAAGGTGCGCAGGCGCCCACGTGTTTGACCAGCCTGGACGCTCCCAAGCCGTGGCCCTGGGGTCACTGCTTGTGGCCGAAGGGCACATGAGTGCCAGCTCCCAGGGAGCGAGCTGGCACACAATTGTCCGGTGTGGCCGCTCACTTGGAAACAAAGCCTCCACCCGCCACTTCAAGGAGCGGTCATCGCCCACTAATAACCGGCCCTCGGCCCCGTTTTCTGCGCCGGCTGGCCCCATACACCCACAATCGCCGCCCCCAGCTTGATCGCAAGCTCGGCGGCCTGCGGCCCTTTCACCGCCTCGCCTACGACAAGTACCGCAGCCACGGGCTCTTCCTGCCCTACGGGGCCCTGGACGCGGAGCACAACGCGCCCAACAAGACGCTCCTGACACCGGGGCGCGGCTGGATGCTGGGGGACGGGCAGGACCCGCTGGATGCATGGCAGCTCGAGGTGCGTCCGGCGCGACAGCGGGTGAACGGTCGGGAACGCCTGGGCACGGTGCTGCTGCTACTCTAAGATGCAAATATGATTTAAATTGACCTGCGATAGCCTGCCTTGACCTGCAATGTCCTATGTCGACCTTTGTTGACTGGTGTTGACTCGCTCTGGTCTGCCTTGTCCAGTGTAGGGCCAAAGCAACCCTGCGACTATAGGGGTGCCTGGCTCTGTTTGAGCCCAAGGCGGATTGTCGTGCGGAGAATAAGATTGGGGCTCAGCCCCAATCCAAGGCTTGTGGCATCAAACCAACAATACGAGATTGACAGATTCACTTGCTCGTTGTCGCGTGCCGCTTGCCACCCCGCACTTCCCAGGAGGTGCTTGAGGAGGGTCGCCGCCGCGGGCTGCCGCCCAACGACCTGTATGGGGCCGCCTACGCTCTGGTCATTAGAGAGCTACAGGAGTGTGCGCGGCGGCTCAGCGGCCGCGCGCTGCAGGCGCGGCGGGCTGCAGTGCAAGAAGGGGCAGGGGCTCCACCGTGCTTACTGCATACGCGTGCCATCGGCACGGCGCCCTCTGCTCGCCATTCACCCTCACCCGCCTGCATTAGCAGCAGTACAAAACTGAACACACTGACAAGTGCCTCGAATGCTGCTGCCTGTGTATGGATGGTATCTGCTGGCGCCTCACCGCTCGCCCCCCCACTAGCCCTCTCGAGGCAGCTTGTCTGACACTCTTGATTCCGAGGTTGTTGCGCCAGGTGGGGCCGACATCCTGTTTACATGCGCCTCCGGCCCTGCATGCAAACCCGCAGGGCTCGTTCCTGCTGACCTGTGAAGACGCCGTCCACCTAGCACCCAGGCTGGCCCGCAGCGGGGCGCTGTTTGACGTAATCGACGTGTCGAACATCACGGGTGCGCGGGCGGGCGGGCGCGGGGCGAAGGATTTTGAAAGCGGGTTTCACGCCGGGATGCTCGCATGCGTGGTGCGCGAGCACACTTGGCTGCACTGCCGCCTGCCTCCCTGTGCTGCACAGTCAGCACCGTGGCGGAATCAAACGCGCGCCGTCGGCGCCTTGGGAGCTTCTCGTCGCATCCAGGCTGCCAATGTCATGTGCCTGTCGTCACCCTGCAAAACTGCCAATCAACAATCCTTGGCCGCCCGACCACGGACTCCCTGCCTGGTTTTAACGCATGCCGCCCGTCGCGCAGACAAGAACTACGTGGGCGTCGAGCCGGTGCTGCGTGCCTTTGGACCGCTGCTCAAGCCGCCGGCCTCCAGCCCCCAGGCCACGCTGCTGACCACCTTCATGAACTGGACCCGGTTCTTAAACCCCGACAAATTCGTCGCCGACGGCCTCACGCGGCAGGAGCAGAAGTGAGCCAATTGCCTTGGCGACCCAGCTGCTCTGGGAGTGCTCTAGAGGGGGCGAGGAGGATGGTGATCGGAAGGCAGGAGGATGCTTGCTTGCAAAGGGCCGTCCGGCCACCTAATCAGAGCCAGATGTACTGTACCTGGAGCCCGCGGTCAGGTTCCCAATCAACCTGAAACTGCATCACACGGCTGACGCGCACTGCTGCCTGGGCACTGCTGGGTGCAACCGCGCACGGCCCGCTATGCCAAGCTTTGCAGGCCTCCCGCAATTCAAGTTGATGTTCCTTGTGTTGATCTGTGTGCTCCTCCTGCATGCATCATAGCAGCATAATGGGGTTTCGACGTCGCCGACGAAGCTGATTTGAGTCTGCACACTTGCCGTTTCTGTGCACTTTGCCGTTGAAGGGAGCTGATCACGCGGTACGCAAAGCGCGCAGAGCGCCGCTACGGACGGGACGCCGCAATGGCCGGCTCTCTCGACGAGATCACCCAGGTACAGTCAGCGTAAAGGCTTCGGGGTCTAATCTGGCAGGCCTCGATGGTTCAGCAGCGCTGTTTATAGAAGCAAGCGTGGCAGCAGGACCACAGGCTTATTACTACCCACAGAAGGGGCAACATGCACACCCAAGCCAATTATGCCAGCTGGAATCATCCCGGCAGCCTAAAAATTGCCACCAATCTGGAATCCATAACATATGCAACCATCTTCCTATTGAGCAAGCTCCTTCGCTACTCACGTTTGCCGCATGCAGGGTCGCCTTGGCGCGGCGCTGCCGCTCATGTTTGACTACTCTGACCGCCTCCAGGCGTACCTGCGGTCAGAAGGCGCCTTCCAGGCAGCTTCTGCAGCGGGCCTCGCGCAGCGCAGCACGAACCTGCTTGTGCCCCCGCGCATTGGTGTGCCGCCGGGCGCGTCGTCCCACGGCGCGCTGCCCGCCGGCGGCGACCCCACCAGCGAAAAGGCGTACTGGCTGGATCGTGTCGCGTCGCACACGCTGACCGAGACGTTTGTCGAGTGGCGGCGCGACCGCGGCGCCGGCGCGGCGGCCGCAGAGGGCAGGCGGCGGGCTGGTGCGGGCGCGGGCGGCGCGTTGGGCGCGTCGACCTCGGCGGGGGCGGCGGGAGCGGCGGGGGCGTCTGGGCCTGACGCATCGTGGCTGCCTGGGCCCGGAAGAGTGGCGCGCAAGGGCCCGCACGGCGGCGGCGGTGGGGGCGGTGGCAAGGGGAAGGGCAAGGGGAAGGGCGGCAAGAAGAAGCGCTGAGAGGCTGAAGCGCTGAGTGGTGAAGTGGCGGCTGGAAGCTGTTGAGGTTTGCAGTTGTGATACAAAGCGTTGGTGTTGTGTGGCACAGTGCGAGACGTCTGGGTGCTATGTGTGGGGTGAGCTTGCTTTTGTTTGCGCCAGCCTGTCTTGATCTGGTGTAAGCCTGACACCAGTGCTGAGGAGCTGGGACGGTTGCAGGCACCTTGTTGCAACATACAAGAAGATCTGGGAGGGGCGCTTACAAACTCAACAGCATGCTACCAGGCAAGCACGTGTACTACCGTACATACATGACAGCTATCTAGGACACAAAAACCCATTGGCAACAACGTGCACGAATTACGCAGCACCAACCTCAGACAAGGAGGTGGCAGCGCTCGCCCCTCGCCGCCGCCGTGGCGCCGCGTGTCTCAGCGGCTGCCCCCCAGGCGTGCCTCCCAAGCTCTGTTTGCAAGGGATAACAAAATGTGCGCCTAGTCGCGGCTACGCAGGCTCCTGGTTGACGTGGGCCTGTATGCGCGCCAGGAGGTCGGCCTTGTTGCCCCCCAGGGTCAGCCCATGGTAGCGCAGGTACACCTGGTGGGGGCGCAGCCGCGGCGTGGGTCAAAGGCGGTCAACTTTCGTCGAGGCGAGGAAGAGGGGCGGCGTGCTGTGTGTGATGTGGCGCTGAATTGCGGGGGATGGTGAAGAAGGACGGTGGGTGGAGGTCCACTTTGGTCAACCCTAAACCCGGAACCCCTAGACCCTAGAGCCTAGACCCTCCCAAGGGGGCGGGGTGCTGCAGGCATTAGCTCCGCCCCACCTTGAGCTGGTCGTTTGTGAGGCGCCCCAGCTGGTCGCTGTTTGCGAGGCTGTACCAGTCGCGCTCCGCATACAGCTCAGCGGTGTGCGGCTCGGGCTGGGGGGTGGTGTGGTTGGAGCGCGCACTTGAGGAGGCGCAGTGCATGCTTTAACTGGGGTTTTAGAGTGCCATTACGCGTGGGTAACGCTTTGCAGATGATCAAGGTTTGGGGCAAAGATTGTGTTTGCAAGTATGCATGGCAATACAAGGAGCTCATGGGCTTGGATGCCTTCATGGACAATCAGGGTCGCTGCGACGCCAATGGTCGCCAATGCAGTTGGAGGCGCAAACATGTCTTGTGAGAAGGAATGAGAAAAGGCGTCCCACATCAGCCTGGTGGCCCACAGCCAGCAAACAAACAGCACACAAGTCTGAACCCTCACACACGCTCACGCCCACATGCTCACACGCGCACACTCACGTGCACTCACAGATACAGTCACACACGGCCCCCGCAGCAGCCACGCGCTCACCCCCGCCTTGCGCTTGGCGCCGGCCGTCTTCCCCGCCGCCCCCGCCCCGTCAGCGCCGTACACTGCGTCGCTGAAGGCCTCGAAGGTGGGGCCGTGCTGCGCCAGGGTCTCGTCATCCGGCAGAGTGCTGTCCTCGATGTCACCACCCAGCTCCTCACGGCTGTACTTGAGGGCCAGGCGCTGCGCGTGGTGTGTTTGTGTGAGTGTGCGCGTGCAAGTGTGTGCGTGTAAGTGTGTGTGTGTGTAAGTGTGTGTTTTTGTAAGTGTGCGTGTGAGTGTGTGTGTGTGTGTGTGTGAGTGCGTGCGCGCGCACATGTGCATTGCGTACAAGAAACGCAACCCCCAACCCCCACATCCTAATCCCCCATACACTGCCACTCAATCTAACCCCACCCATACCTCCAGCATGTCGTAGTGCCTGTCAAGGGCCGGGTTGCTGAGCCCCCTCAAATCCTCCGCAAACTCAGGCGACAGCGCCACCGCAGCCGCCACCTCCTCCGCCGCGCGCACCTGGCATGGACGGCGGGCGGCGCCGAGGGGTGCGGGATTACGACGGGGCGCGGCGCTCGCAAGGGGCAGCGCGCGCGTCCAGTAAGCTGGTGGGCGTGTGAAAGGCCGGACGTGGCGGCCACGGCGCCCCGAGGCGCTGCTCGTTGAGTGCGTGCGCGGGTCTTGTCGGGCCTTTGATAATATGAACCCTCAAGCCCTGCTCGCCTGCTCCTCTGTCGCCTCTGGCCTGTCTGCCGCCTTGATCGCGCCCCGCGCTCCGCCCCGCTCTGGGAATCGCATCTCGTCCCGCCAGGGCAGCTGGAACATGTGGAGGCCGGGTGGCGTCACCTGGTGTGTGTGTGTGTGTGTGGGGGGGGGGGTGTTTGTGAGAGTATGTGTATGTGTCTGTGAGAGTGTAGTAAACATGTGTGCGGAGATGAATTTGTGAACAATTGTGTGTGGTCTTGTGCACCGTGTCCTGTGTGCATCATCAAACAGCTGATAGATGTATCCTGGGGGCCTCTCCAGAGGGAATGTATGTGTCTGACAAACTATGTGTGTGTCAACACGTGTGGGTGTGTGTGCGTGTGTGTGTGTGTGTGTGTGTGTGTGTGTGTGTGACCACTCTGTACTCACACGAAAGCTCGGTCTGATGACCGTTCAAACCGCAACCTTGCCGACCCAATGCCGGATGGCATGGTATCAACAACAACCGAGCTCACTCAATGCAAACGCACTTGTGCACACACACACACACACACACACACACACACACACACACACACACACACACAATTCCACAAACCGCCGCCAGCGCCGCCCACCTGCACTCCGTCCGCGTCCACCAGCTCCCCCTGCGGCGCCAGCGCCACCAGGACGGGCGCGGTGCCGGCCCGCACCACCAGGCGCGCAATCGCCACTTTGCCCTGGGGCCCGCGCGGCGTATGCGGGTGTGGGGTGTGGGGGTGGGAGGAGAGGTCTGGAGTGGGAGGGTCTGGGAGGGAGGGGAGGGTAGACGCCCCTCCCACCCGACCACCGCCCGCCGGAATCCGGCATCACACGCGCCCCGGTTACTGAAGCGCCCTCTATGGCAGTTGAGTCAAGACTGCTGAGCCTTTTGAACCCCATGGTCACAGCCCCGTATGGTGCCCCCAAGAGGGGCGGCGGCAGCCGCTGCAGCTTCGCCGCACCTTCTCCTTCATCGCCCTCCACAGCGCTATGAAGGCCGTCGTGCTGCCCTTGAGCCGCCGCTCGTCCGGGTACAGGAAGCGCGCGGGGGCGACGACGTGGTGGGGGGCGAGGGCGGCGGAAGCTGGCTTGAAGCCGAGGAGGGCGAGGCCGGCGGGGCGGGGGGCGCGGACCAGGTCCAGCTCTGAGTTGTCAAAGACGGCCTTTGGGGGGGGGATGCGTGCAAAAGCGAGATTGTGTTTGTGTGTGTGTGTGTGTGTGTGTGTGCGCGCGCGCGTGCGTGTGGG